ATCTGAAATAACAACTCATATTTCTCGCATCAAATTGACATCAAAACGCATTTTAATGGCCAACTAACTTTAAAACAGGCATTTTCCAACCGGGAATAAACGATGTTCGGCCATGTTTTTTTGTTCTTCAGGGAGAAATTTCAAGATCACGTGACATAGACGCCAGCCATTGGAATGGAATGTGAATGCAGTTGGAGGTCAACCAATCACATAGCTTGAGAACTAATCACGGGCTTGTCAAACATGAGCACATGGTGTAGTCCTAAACGATAGCTGGGGATTCTGGGTAGTGTAGTGTCTTCTGACAATCCTTTACTTAGAAAAAATATTTGTTTCTCCGAATCGAAGGGGAAAAATACTTGTGTAATTAACAAGGATATCTGGTGTTTTTGGTTGATGAGTAGTGCAGATATCACTGTAAAATCAATCCACAGTAAGGGGAATACTTCCTTCCGGGTGTACAATTCTCCGTTATCCAATGGGAATGGACGCTCACATTGCCTTTAAGGGCAGCCGACACAAACGAATGCCGTGCTTCCATGAGCGTCAAAATCCCGCCGCAGATGGGAATACCATCGCAATCAGTTGAAAGCTATTTGCATCCCTTTATGAATCTGAAGGAGCCTAGGAGCGTCACAACTGCACGCCTCGGGACCCTGATCAAGCGTCGCTCCTGGACGATTATGGAGTGAGAGGTGTGTTGTCCGAGCAAGGCCTCTTAAGGGTCCCCGAACCAGGCTAAAAACTAAGGGGGACCGTGGCCTTTGAGGCGGTGGCCCCCATGGAATGAACTCCCCCAGAAACTGAGAGCCTCTGTCTCAGTGGAGGTTTTAAAGGGGCAGCTAAAGACTCAACTTTTCCGACAGGCGTTTGTAGCTGTTTTATCCTATCTTTTACTTGCTGTGTTTTATGCCTTTTATTACAAACAAAAACATTTTTTCCCAATGTTTAAAATCGGTAATACCAGTCCCATGTTTATGTATTATTATTATCAACAATAATGTAATTATTGCAGCTTAACGAGGCTAGCAGTTTAAAAACCCTGGATATAGAATATTTAATAACAAGGCTATAAGAAAACCATGGTTGAAACACGGCATAGTAAAACATTTCTTCATAGTTTCAATAAACGACAAGAAAGTCCCCTCAGGTGTTTAAGTAGGGGTGCAACAACTAATCGCTTAATCGATTAAAATCGATTAACCAAATTAGTTGCCAACTAATTCATCGTCGATTCGTTGGTGACGTCATCACGTGCGTTTTACGCGCCGGTAAGCTACAACGTTATTGGTACTTGAGACATTTAAAAAATATATGTCATGTATTATTGATACAAAAACATTATATCGCAGTCTTAGTGTGGCCAGCTCGTTTATAATATGTAAAAAGACAAACAAATGCGTCTATGATGTATTTTCGATCAGACGAGATCTCTCCCCGTCTGTGTGGGAGGGGGCGGGGCAGTTTACACACACGCGGCTGCTACATGCAGCAACACATTGCGGAGATGGCGGAGAGAACGCGCTCCGAGGTGTGGTTAAACTTTATCCGTCTCGATGCTCGTTGCCAAAAGTGCAATAAGAGTTTAGCATGTAAGGGAGGTAACACGAGCAATTCGTCTAAACATTTATCAAAAGCGCTCCACATGCAGACGGAGGAATGCACCGGGTTCGACTGTCTTTCTAGCAGCTCTGTAGCCCCGTCCACGAGTAACGTTTCCACGTCAGGTGTTATGTATGCTAGCAGCAACACACGGAGTTAACACCATTATACAAACATGGGGTAATGATTAGAGGTAACTGAGTTATTTATTTTGTTACAGTTTCAGCTATTCTGTTTACAGTTCTGTCATCAGATTATTTATTATTTGCTAAAACACTGTTGTTTCTTTTGATGTGAAATATTATTTATTTTATTTAAATAAAAAGCAATGTTCATTTTGTAAACAATGTGTTAAGTTAATTTAATAATATATGTATTTTTGAATCAAGTATTCATCTTTATTGTCTTGTTAGTTTCCACATGCCTAAAACAAACCTCAAGCTAAATCTAAAAGTTGATGGCTAAATAAGAGCGTTTGGAGAAATTGTGCAAGGCATACAGTAATAGTCCGAATAGTCGATTAATCGTTCAATTAATCGATAGATTAATCGACTATCAAATTAGTCGTTTGTTGCAGCCCTAGTGTTAAGACCTTTACAGATACATGCAGCTAAATATAATATTTTAACAGGTTAAGATACACTAGGAGGTAAAAGGTATGATAATAACAACTTAAATACAGTGTTACGTTCCCTCCTACACTAGGGGTTACAAAGGAAGTACAAAATATAAAAATAACCGGGAGAGAGGAAACTGATTTGGCAAAATTAGTAGATAGTTTATTTTTTTGAAAAGGAAGAGGGCTCACCAGCAAAGTTACAAAACAAACTTAAGATGAACTGAGAACAACTTTCTCCTAAAAGAAAGTGACTGAAGTACTCACCAGGCACAAAGAAATAATAATAATAATAATAATAATACATTGCATTTCAAAGCGCTTTTCCAGGTGCTCAAAGACGCTTTACAGTGGTGATAAAACATGATAAAATAGAATTTAAAAGTTATTAAAACAAGATAAAATAACACTTAAAAGTTATTAAAACAGCAATACAGCATAATTCACAGATTAAAAGCCAGTCTGAAGAGACCAAGGGGTAGACCTAGGACCAGGTGGAGGGATTATATCTCTTCGCTGGCCTGGGAGCGTCTTGGGATCCCCCAGTCAGAGCTGGTTGATGTCGCCAGGGAAAAGAAAGTTTGGGGCTCTCTGCTGGAACTGCTACCCCGCGACCCGACCACGGATAAGCGGGAGAAGATGGATGGATGGATGGATGGATGAAGAGGTGTGTTTTGGTCAGTGTTTTGAAAGTGGAGGGGTCAGTGCAGTCTCTGATGTGTTGTGGGAGTGAGTTCCAGAGGGTGGGGGCAGCGATGGAGAAGGCTCTATCCCCCCAGGTTCGGAGCTTGGTTTTCTTGGGGATAGAGAGGAGGTTCGCTTCTGATGAGCGAAGGCTGCGGGAAGGGGTGTAGTGGTGGATCAGGTCGGAGAGGTAGGGGGGAGCCTGGTTATTGAGAGCTTTGTGTGTTAGCAGAAGGATTTTGAAGTGTATTCGTTGACGAACAGGGAGCCAGTGCAGGTTTTGAAGGACGGGGGTGATGTGGTCTCTGGAGCGGGTGTGGGTGAGGAGGCGGGCAGCGCAGTTCTGGATGTATTGTAGTTTATTTAGGATTTTGGATGATGAACCATACAGGATGCTGTTGCAGTAGTCCAGTCTTGAAGTGACAAATGCGTGGATGAGGGTTTCAGCAGCCGGGAAGGTGAGTGAGGGGCGGAGGCGGGCAATGTTTTTCAGATGGAAGAAGGCAGTCCTGGTGATGTGGTTTGTGTGTTTGTCAAATTTGAGCTGGCTGTCAAAGATTACTCCAAGGTTGCGAATGTGAGGAGAGGGGGTTAGAGTGGTGTTGTCAAGGGTGAGGTTGAAGTTCTGAGTGGTGTTGGTGCGGGATGGGGTCCGATTATGATGATATCAGATTTTGTCGCTGTTCAGTTGAAGGTAGTTTGTTTTGCATCCAGGATTTAATTTCTGAGAGACAGTTGGTGAGTGTGGAGTGAGTTGTGGCAGTGATGGTTTTTGTGGAGATGTAGAGTTGGATGTCATCAGCGTAGCAGTGATACTGGAGGTTGTGGCGACGGAATGATTTTCCAAGGGGAGTATATAGAGGATGAGAGGAGGGGACCAGCACCGAACCCTGGGGGACGCCTTGGGTTCAGAGGGGCAGTGGAGGAAGTGCAGTTATTGATGTGGATGAACTGGTGTCCTGTTGGTGAGGTATGATTTCAACCAGGAGAGTGCAGTGTCAGTGATGTTGAGGGATGATTCCAGGCGGGACAGCAGGATGGTGTGGTCGATGGTGTCGAACGCTGCTGTGAGGTCGAGGAGGATGAGGATGTTGAGATTGCCGGAGTCTGAGGAGAGGAGGAGGTCGTTAGTGATTCTGAGGAGGGCTGTCTCTGTGCTATGTTTTGTCCGGAATCCTGATTGAAAGGGTTCAAACAGGTTATTGGAGCTGAGGTGGGATTTTAGTTGGGAGGCTACAACACGTTCGAGTAGCTTTGATAGGAACGGGAGATTGGAAATGGGCCGGAAGTTGGACATGATGTCAGGTGTGAGTCCGGGTTTTTTCAGTATGGGTGTAACAGCAGCCAGTTTGAGTGAGGGGGGGGGACTGATCCAGAGCAGAGGGAGGAGTTAATGATTGTGGGTTATGAGTTGGGAGATGGGAGGGAGGCATTCCCTGACAAATGTAGTTGGTATGGGATCCAGAGTGCAGGTGGGTTCATTCCGGCCATGAGGGTGGAAAGTTGCATTGGGGTCACAGGGGAGAACCGGGATAGGGGCTTTGAGGTGAAGGGGGGGGAGCCAGTGGGGGAGATGGGGAGGGGGCTGTTGAGGAGGTCAGGTTTCTGTAGATGCTGTCGATTTTGGATTGAAAGAATGAGAGGAAAAGAATTGCACTGTGCAGTTGTGAAGGATGGGGTGGTGTTGTCGCAGGGTTTAAGGAGTGTGCTGATGGTGGAGAACAGAGCCTTGGGGTTGCTGGAGCCGGAGTGTATCAGTTGTGAGTAGTAGTTGGTCCGGGCTGCTTTGAGCGCATTATTGTACTGATGTAGGTGGTCGGGTGTAGGCATGGAGATGAACTGTTAGAGTGGTTTTCTTATGGAGGCGTTCCAGTTGGCGTTTTTGTGATTTCATTTGGCGGAGTTCAGCGGTGTACCAGGGAGCTGAATGTGTGAAAGAGACAGTTTTAGTTTTTGGGGAGCCAGTTCATCAAGACAGGAGGAGAGGGTGGTGTTGTAGTAGTCCACTAGTTGACATGGATTGTCAGGCGCGGGGGGGGATGGGAAGGCGGACATCTTGCGGGTGATGCAAGCTGAGAGTGCTGAGGGAGACCAGGGATTTTAGGTTTCTGAAGGTTATTGTGCGCTTGTGTTTTTGGATGGGGATGGGGATATTGATGTCCATGGTGATGGCCAGGTGGTCGGAGATATGAGGGTCGAGACTGGATAGGTGGTGGGCGGTGAGACCTGTGGAGCAGACTAGGTCAAGGATGTGTCCGTGGCTGTGTGTGGGGAAGTTGATGTGCTGTGTGAAGTTGAAGCACTGCAGAGTTTCCAGAAATTCAATGGCATATATGCTGGTTGGGTCATCAATGTGGATATTGAAATCCCCTACGAGGAGCACAGATTTAGATATTGCAGATAGCTGGGTTAGAAGGTCAGAGAGGTCGGAGAGAAAGGTGGGATTTTGTTTTGGAGGGTGGTAAATGATGGCTGTGACCAGGGGAGTGGGACCAGAGAGCTTAAATACCAGGTGCTCGAATGAGGGAATATCAGGGATGGAGATGGTGGTGGCTTTCACATCCTTCCTAAAAATAGCAGCAAGACCACATCTAACAATGAACAAGTGAAACTAACAGGTCTCACACAGAGACACCACACTACACATGCTGCACACGTCACACAAGCAGCCCAGAGGAGAAGGATTATGAAAACTAAATTATGATGTCTCGAGAAAAAATAAGACACAAGACAAGTGAATAGATGCAACAATATAAAACCCTATAAAATAAAGTGAACATATAGGTACAACAGAAATACAAATGAATAGTAATAGAAACGACATAATTCTAATAAAGGTTAAACGATTAAAATATAAAGAAACCAACGTAAAAATTAATGTTGCTATTGAAACTGTTAAATAACTAATATAAGATAAAACCCTTCCTATATCATAAATGAAACAATATAAAAGTAGGTAAATAATAAAGACTAAAAGACCATTTAAAGTGGGGGCTTGCTAATAAAAAGCTAATCTAAAGAGATGGGTCTTTAGAAGGCGTTTAAAAATGTCCACTGAGCCTCTCTGATATTTCCTGGTGTTCCACAGTTTGGGAGCGTAGTGGATAAAAGCCTCACCCATTTTATTTTGGGGGATTTTAGGGATATTTAAATAGCTGAAGAGGACCTTAGGACTTGTCCAGGGACATCAAACGAGACTGACTCTGTGAATTGAAGTCTGTTTAGAAAGACTTCAAATATAAAAGAACATCAGGAGGAGGAAACAGCTAGCTTGGCTCTCATAGTTGTTCAAAACTATAAGGTGTGGATTCGCTCGTGGAGCTTAAGGTGAGAACTTTGAGAATACGTTTTCCCACACTCTTCACACCAGTACAGGGTTTTCTCCAGAATGAATACGTTGATGTTTTTGGAGAGCACCTGATTTAGTGAACGTTTTCCCACACTCTTCACACCAGTATGGTTTTTCCTCCTGTGTGAATACGATGATGTTTTTTTAGATTACCTGATTCCCTGAATGTTTTCCCACACTCTTCACAGCTGTACGGTTTTTTCTCCTGTATGAATACGTTGATGTGATTTTAGATTACCTGATTGCCTGAATGTTTTCCCACACTCTTCACACCAGTACGGTTTTTCTCCTGAGTGAATACGTTGATGTTTTTGGAGAGCACCTGATGAAGTGAACGTTTTCCCACAGTCTTCACACCAGTACGGTTTTTCTCCTGTGTGAATACGTTGATGTGTTTGGAGAGCACCTGATTCCCTGAATGTTTTCCCACACTCTTCACAGCTGTACGGTTTTTCTCCTGTATGAATACGTTGATGTTTTCGGAGATCACCTGAATGAGTGAATGTTGTTCCACACTCTTCACAGCTGTACGGTTTTTCTCCAGTGTGAATGCGTTGATGTGTTTTTAGATTACCTGATACCCTGAATGTTTTCCCACACTCTTCACAGCTGTACGGTTTTTCTCCAGTGTGAATACGTTGATGTTTTTTTAGATCACCCAATTCCCTGAATGTCTTCCCACACAACTCACAGCTGTACGGTTTTTCTCCGGTATGAATACGTTGATGTTTTTGGAGAACACCTGATTGAGTGAACTTTTTCCCACACTCTTGACACCAATACGGGTTTTCTCCAGTGTGAATACGTTGATGTGTTTTTAGATGACCTGATTGAGTGAATGTTTTCCCACACTCTTCACAGCTGTACGGTTTTTCTCCAGTGTGAATACGTTGATGTTTTTTTAGACAACCCAATTCCCTGAATGTCTTCCCACACAACTCACAGCTGTACGGTTTTTCTCCGGTATGAATACGTTGATGTTTTTGGAGAACACCTGATTGAGTGAACGTTTTCCCACACTCTTGACACCAGTAAGGTTTTTCTCCAGTGTGAATACGTTGATGTGTTTTGAGATCACCTGATGTAGTGAACGTTTTCCCACACTCTTCACAGCTGTACGGTCTTTCTCCAGTGTGAATACGCAGGTGGCACTTTAAATGTGCAGATGTTGTAAAGGATTTTTCACATTGCTGACAGCCGTGACGTCTCTCTCTTCCTTTCATTTTCTAGAACAGACGGACAAAGAAAGAGAGAAAGTAAATCTAAAAAGCATAAATACATACAGTTACAATACAATAAAAACTCACTTAATATAAACCTTGAGTTAACAAAATACTAGTTTTACTAACGGTGTGTGTTTATTACATTTGTATTATATTAGATACAGTAACAGCAACATTCTAACCACAGTAAATACCAGAGGTGGGGGATTCGAGTCACATGACTTGACTCGAGTCGCATATTTTTGTGCTTTGGGACTTGCTTGTGTTACGTGCCGTAGTGTTTGTGTGGTCGGGTGTGTGTTTTCCTCTCTCTCCCTCTGATTGTCCCCAGGTGCAGCCTCTCCCTAGGTGCTCCTAATTGACAATCAGGGCTTCCATATAGGACCGGAGGAGGACGGCAGTGAGACGCCTTTTCTCTCCTTGTCATCTGGCTGCATGTGTGCAGCATGTCTCTGTGTGAGACCCAGCATAGTTGTGTGTTGTTTATTGTAAGCTTGTTTTGTAATTTGGCTGGTGAGCCGCCTTACTTATTTGCTAATTAAAACCTCACTTAAACTCCTTCAGCATTCAGTTTCCTCTCCTTTTTTCTCTCGTCCGGCTATCTTGTGTGTCGCTACTTCCCTTGGTACCCCTAGATCTACAAGGGAACGTAACATGGGGGCTCGTCCAATCTTTGAGACAAAGAGTGAGTATTTGGTTGTTGGTTAGTGTTGATATTGTGTTTGGTGGTGAGCAGTAGTGTATATAAGTGTAGAATTGGCTGTGAAATTATTTACTGTTGAACATCTTCCTCAGTTTAGATATGGGAGTGTCTAGCTGGACTGAATCAGTCCTTCCTTCAGGCACTCATTTTTTATTTTGCCTTTTTTATTTTCGGGGTAATCCTGGGTGGGGATTTATTCCCGGTTGGGGGCAGGCGATTCAGGGTTTCGGCCGCTGATGTTTGCCTTTAAAGTCGCCTCGAGCCCGGCACGCTCCAGAAGATAGTTAGGTAAAGTTTGGTAGGCAGGATCTGGGGAAGTTTGTAAATAAATAAATAATAATATTTGTAAATAGCCGTTGCTAAGGATGGTTTTTGTGTTGGAGCAGTTTGTGGCCAGTCCTACTGTGGGTCAGCTAGACGGGGGCAGGAAGGTTGATTTGCGGTTAGTTGCTGACCATTATCATGTTTCGGTCTCCTCTGCTCTGGTAAAAAGTGAACTCAAGGCTACTTTGATAACTGGACTAGTTGAACAGGGGGTTTTGAGGCGGCCTGCTTTAGTGGAATCTCCTGGCACGGTGGTTCAGAGTGCTACGGAACAGGCAAACATTTTCACCACACCTCAGTTTGACTCGTTTTCGGCAGGATCCTCACCTACGGGGTCTAAATTAGATGCCAGGGTAAAAGTGCGTATGGCCCGTCTCCAGTGTGAGAGGGAGGAGCGTGAGCGAGAGTTTCAGCTCAGGAGGGAGCTGGAGGTCAGGAAGCAGGAGCTGGAGATCAGGAAGCTGGAGGCAGACACTGCTGTCCGGATGCGTCAGCTAGAGCTCCAAGCAGCTGTGGTGGGTGATTCTGCAGTTACACCTTCTGGTCCTGCTGCCTCCTTTGACGTGAGCAGGCATATTTCTTTGGTCCCTGTGTTTCGTGAATCAGAGGTGGAAGTCTATTTTGGTGCATTTGAGCGCTTTGCTGCTGCCCTGCACTGGCCAGAAGACATGTGGGCTATTCTTTTACAGTGCAAGCTAGTCGGCAAGGCTCAAGCGGCTTGCTCTTCTCTTTCTGTCGAGGACAGTTTGGTGTATGAGAAGGTGAAAGGTGCTATTCTCAGGGCATATGAGCTTGTGCCTGAGGCCTACAGGCAGCGTTTTCGCGGCATGAAGAAAGCTTCTGGCCAAACATACATGGACTTCGCGAGGGAGAAGAAAGCCCTCTTTGACAGGTGGTGTAGAGCGTGTAAAGCTGATGACATTACTTCAGTCTGTGAGCTGATGATGTTAGAGGAGTTTAAAAACTGTGTACCGGAGCGTACGGTAGTCTACCTGAATGAGCAGAAAGTGACTACCCTTCAGCAGGCTGCCACTCTGGCAGACGAGTTTGCGCTGATACATAAGAGTGTTTTTTTTCAGCGGGATCCTCCTCAGCGGGACACTTATCGGAGAGCTCCTGACAATTATGTTCCCTGTGCCAGTGTTCCATTGTTAGGTCCCAGGATAGACAGAGCTTGTTATTTTTGTTTTGACCCAGGTCATATGATAGCAGACTGTGCAGCTTGGAAGCGAGAGCGGGCAGCAGGTGGCACGCACCCAAAAGGGGTGGGCCTGATTAAAACAGTGTGTCCTAGTAGGCAGGTCACTGTTAAAATGGGCCCTGATGAGTGTTTTAAGCCATTCATCTCCACTGCTTTTGTCTCTCTGTCAGGGAAGGTGGAGGATCAGCGGCAGGTTGCTATGTTACGAGACAGTGGCAGCTCACAGTCATTCATTCTTGCGAGTGCCCTGCCCTTGAGTAATGAGTCCGCCTGTGATGTAAGTGCCGTGGTAAGAGGTATTGAAATGGGTTTTGTGCCTGCACCTCTCCACAATGTCCATGTCCAGTCTGAACTGGCTACTGGTTTCTTTCCAGTTGCTGTGCTCCCCAAATTTCCTGTCGACGGTGTGGATGTCATAATGGGTAATGATATAGCCGGGGGTAAAATGTATCCTCAGGGCAGTTATCCTCACTGTAGGGCTCGTAACAGACGTGTCACACGTGCTCATTCTGTTTCTCTCCCAGGTCCCGACACTGAGAGATTGTGTTTTTATTGTCTTGACCCTGGTCATTTAGCGGCGGAGTGTGTGGCTTGGAAGCAGCAGGTGGCAGCTTCCAAGCATTCTATAGTATGCTTGTGAATTATGTGATGAGTGTTGTTGGTAACTGTGACCAAACACTTGTTTGGTTTTATGGGGGGAAGTGTTACGTGCCGTAGTGTTTGTGTGGTCGGGTGTGTGTTTTCCTCTCTCTCCCTCTGATTGTCCCCAGGTGCAGCCTCTCCCCAGGTGCTCCTAATTGACAATCAGGGCTTCCATATAGGACCGGAGGAGGACGGCAGTGAGACGCCTTTTCTCTCCTTGTGATCTGGCTGCATGTGTGCAGCATGTATCTGTGTGAGACCCAGCATAGTTGTGTGTTGTTTATTGTAAGCTTGTTTTGTAATTTGGCTGGTGAGCCGCCTTACTTATTTGCTAATTAAAACCTCACTTAAACTCCTTCAGCATTCAGTTGCCTCTCTTTTTTTCTCTCGTCCGGCTATCTTGTGTGTCGCTACTTCCCTTGGTACCCCTAGATCTACAAGGGAACGTAACACTTGACTAACATAGATAACATCCTCGACTTGACTTTGACTTGGTATCCATGACTTGAGACTTGAGACGGATGACTCGAAAGGACTTTACTTTCTAAAATAAAATATTTGCATTTGTATTGTAGGAAGCCCCTAAAGGGCAATGAAAACAAAGAGTGAGAGAAAGTAACTTGTTTGCAGGAGAAAGTTACCAGTGCGCCAAGTAGGAAGTGGAGTGCATAGGAGACAGACGTTTCATTACAGATTGTTATGTTTATGTGGGGAAATGGCAGTGCATACATTATTTGAGATATATTTCGATGTCGGACTTCATTTTAGGGACATTTCGGCCAGGAGAGCTATTTGTTTAAGCACCGGATCGGCAAAACAGGAGAGTCTGTGAACCAGTCTGCCTTGATCTATGAATTCATGTCCGTGACTCTCACAGTATCTGCTGCCCACAGCTGTTTTATATAAGGAAAATCTTCACTTCATGAAATCTCTGCAGCACCAGGAGGCAGTAACGTGTAACTCAGCAGAATCTGAGAGGAGCAGCACCAGCTGCAAAGAGCTGTGCCTTTTACTTCACTGTGTTTACCTTCACTAGAACAGATAAATAGTAATTGCAGGCTGCTACGTTTTAACAACACACACCTCTACACACACACATATCGTACTGCCTGATTATTCCCCATATTACCTGTTTTATGATTTCAGAGCCCCACTCTCCATTGTTGCTAATGTTAAAAATAAAACTCTACTTTTCATAACCACCGTCTTTTAACTGATTTAAATGCGGAAACTGGGGTTATTCATCAAGATTTCGTATGACTTGACTTGCTTGACTCTCACCCCAGTAACTTGAGACTTGCACATGTATGACTTACTCCCACCTCTGGTATATACAGGAGACAGAGGGAGATGGCATCACTGCGCGTCTCAGTATGCTCCGTTAGTCTTGTGTTTGTTTTTTTGGTCTAATTATTGTCTAAACTTTGTTGTCTCTGTATGAAACGTCATTTTGAGAGACCATGCTTTTGATCCTGTCGATTATATTTTCCTTTTAGCAGACCATGTCTGGCCATACAACTTTCCAAGACACACCTGAGTGACAGCACAAGCAGGTATGGCGAGGAGTCCCGGCCCCTACGCTGCTACAGCCGTGAGGCTATGCTGGAGCTACAATGCGATCGGCATCATACGAATACATCAAGCCATCTGTGCTCTTCAATATTGGATGACCTCCCTCGGGAGCCGCTTAGAAACACCAGGAAAAAGAGACAAGGAAGGAGACGAGGTGTTCAGAATCGCCTACGGCGAAGATTCAGCCGGCCACCACTTTCATCCATCATTCTCACAAACCTGCGCTCATTGATTAACAAAGTGGACACACCAAGGACATACACAAGGAACTGTCCTGAATTTCGTGAGGCCTCTTTATTATGTTTCACAGAAAGTTGGCTCCAATCTACAATGCCTGAATCTATCTTTGAGGTATCCGGATTCAACCTTGTTCGAGCAGACAGCGATGCGAACTCGGGGAAAACCAGAGGAGGCGGTATTTGTGTGTATATTATTAACCTGTTAAGCCCCATTCCCCGCAGGCGGGGGAGAAACCACAACATCTGCAAGCAGCAGTTGGCGCGTTCACACCGGAGTACTTTTCCCACAATAGTTAATCAGAACTACGATATATTTGCGTTC